ACTTAACTTAACTTAACTTAACTTAACTTAACTTAACTTATCTAATTACAGGAATATCCTTTCTAAGGAGCCAGGATCAGATCTCAGTTTCTAATTCTATATCTACTAATTTAGAAACTTCCTAAAACCATCAGTCCTTTTTGCCTAATATTAGTATTATTAGTTAACACGATTAGTATTATCACTAGTTATACTGATTATTATAATTCAGGGGTCTTCAAACTTGGCCCTTTTATGACTTGTGGACTTCAACTCCCAGAATTCCTCAGCCAGACACGCTGGCTGAGGAATTCTGGGAGTTAAAGTCCACGAGCCATAAAAGGGCCAAGTTTGAAGACCCCTGTTATAATTGAAGGATTATTCCTATCTAACTTGTGAATTGAAGCAGACAGTGATGACCACAAGCAAGTCATTATGTTTAACATGAAGCAACTATTATGTATTTTACTCTTAACCTGATCATGTTGATATTACAATAATACTGAATAAAAACAGCTTGTTGAACCATGGATCCCTATGTATCTGCAGCATTTTATTCTAGAAATCTGCCAGGATTATTATTATGTAATAATAATTATTATTTAAATGTATATGCTACCTAACTCCCAATTATCAATAATGATCAGCTTTACTATCAAATTAAATCAATGGGATTTATTGTGTGGATTTACTTTTACTATGTTTTACACAATAATATTAATAACAATAACAACTATTCTGCCCACAGAAATACACCCCAAGGAGTTATTTGAGCAATCTGCCTATACAAAATAATATAAAGAGGAACAAAACAAAACCATGACATGATTTTTCACTTACCACCATTATGTAAAATCAGCAATATAGTCATCAATAGAATTATCAGCATTATTTTTCAGGAAGCTTGCCTGGTGAATTAAATAAAATGTTTATATAAATGTCCTTTAAGACAATAAGGTATGGTTCGCCCACGGTGTAGCATTAAATTACTTGTGCTTCCGGAAATTTTATATATATATATATAATCACATGGTAATTACCAAAGCAGGTGCCTATGCAGGTTCTCAATCATCCAGGTCATGGTTGTCCCAAAAGTGCTTTTCTAGAAGGCAATTGGACTTTCTGTGTGTTTGTTTTTTTCTTGAAGACATTTCACTTCTCATTCAAGACGCTTCCTCAGTTCTGGCTTAGAACTGAAGAAGCGTCTCGGATGAGAAGTGAAACGTCTTCAAGAGGGAAAAAAACCCAAGAAAGTCCAGTTACCTTTCAAAAAGCATCTTTAGGAGTACCAAAGCAGATGTTATTCTAAAACACTTCCCAGAATCAGATTCCATCCAGATGTGTTAGACTTTACTGTACATCCTATAATCCCAAAGGATCAAAGCTAGTCCTGCCAGGTTGTGAGAATTTAAGTCTAACACATTTAGGTTGGGTTGAATGTCTGAGCTGCTTATTGCTAGTGCCAGCTCACTCCAAGAGGGACTAAAACATCTGGCAGTTTCCCAAATTAGAAGAGGAGAAAGTTATTCAAGAGGGACTCGTGGTGGAGTTTTGAAACTAGGACAGCTGTACAGAGAAAGAGAACAGATGTTTCTCCCTTTCTCCTGATAGAATTTCAGATCGTTCAGTGAACTGATGAGTAACTTCAAGAAAGGCAAACTGACAGAGTGAGAAAGAAAGAGAGAGGGAAGGAACATTTTTTGCATCATGTAAAATTCATTTGTGGAGTTCTTTGCACTAATTTAGCATTTAGCTTTTAGAAGGAAGGGAAGGGAAAATTGCTCAGCTGAGTTGAGATGAGATCTCACATATCTGGGTGGTTGCAAAATCGCACAGAAGAGTTGCAAAAAAGTGTTGCACGGAATTCAACACTTGGGGCAATGTACATTTCAAATAGCCACATTCTGTCTGCGATATAAAACATTTAAGCCCCCAAAGTGTTTTTTTTAGTTGCTTAGATATCAAATTTCTACACCGTCAATTTTGCTTAAGTAAACTTTACAAACCACATCATAATATAAAACGTGACTAAAAAGCAAAGTTGAAACACTCTAAAAACAAGGTTAAAATTTACAAAGTAAAAAGTAAAAAAACAAAACCCAAACTTAAAAAGGTTTTGCCCACAATCAAACAGCATACAGTAAGTTCATGCTGCATAAAGATTTTGTGCAGGTATCGTCGTACAGATTTCTATACATTTTGAATACTTAGTGGATTTTGCATCCCTCTAACCAAAATGTGGAATGGCTGTTTAAGGTTGGTCAGTACTGCTACTATGTAGAGATTGCAAGACAGATCTGAGATTACATAGGCAGACCTTACCTATGACTAACTATAGAGAGAAAAAAGTCCCTTGTTTTTTAAATACATCTCCGAGCTGGACCATACTGGACCAAATTTGAACCTGTCTTCTCTACAGCCTTGATCTCTTCCCACTCTTAGAAGTCTACCCCACTGACACCATGTGAAGTTCTGCACCCTTTTGTAGATGAGTTGTAACCCAATACCTAAATAGATGAACTGGAAGCATTCTACAGGCTACTTTTAAGCTCTAGTGAGATACCCAGATTTGGTTCACACTGCACGGATCTTATCACAGTATCTTTATACTGGTATGTACTATTTAGAAGTTCAATTTCTGACTAGATTGTAAGTATCTAGAGGACTACATACTTCCAGCTGAACATGAGATGGTGCCAGGTGGATGCTTAGAATCCTAGCTCAACCCTGAGTTTGCAAACAGATGCTCAATGTGTGTTTATCTGTGGAAAAAAAAAACCTCTTTGGATAACTGGATTTATTCTGGTGTTATAGAATACTACAAGATCTGCACAAGTCCAGTCCATCACAAGGTGGCAACAAAGAGATAAAACTCTAACTCTTTGCCACCATCCAGTGGTCATGGAGATTTTGGCAGCAGAGTTTTGGTAGCCCTGGCCAGTACGCTGGTGTCTATTACGTTGGGCTACCATTTCTCCTAAAACTGATTTCCAGGTTCACAGGTTTCAGCTCAGATAACTGGCTAATAATTCACTCACTGCCATTTAAGAAACCCTTCCACCCTAAAGCATGAGAAACTTGCTTACCTTGAAGGATATTTCTCAAAGGAAGATAAAAGGAGGAACTTGGCCTTTAGTGATTTATACCTCTTTGGCTATGCCCTCCCTTGATCACGTGACTACTTTCTTCATCAACCCAAACTCAACCTTTCTCAATTGTCCCTTTCATTAAAATTTCGGCAGGTCACAATTCCTAGAGCATCAAAGGTGAACATTATAGATCATTTATATGCTTAAGGTTATATTCAGTCGGGGGTTTTCTTTCCCCCCCCACCAGACTCTTGAAAGCTACCCTAATACAGGCCTTGTTGTAATGAAACAATTGTTCCTTTGTTATCCCTTTCCTGCAAAGTCAGATGACGGCGGTGAGCGAGAACTTAATAAGCAGCTTCATTCATGGTTGAGGGACAGGTGAAAATTTAGACGATAGGACAGACCCCCAAATATCTGAGTGCTGAAAAGCTCGGGAGGGCTTGAAAAAAAAAACATTGAAAGGGTCTTCCATAGAATTATGGAATCGCAGACCTGAGGAGTTTTGGAAGGCACCACAAAGATCATTTAGACTAACTCTTTGAGGAAAAAAACCAATGATACTATTCTTGAGAGGTCACTATCCAATTTCTTCCCTCTACAAATGAAGGACCCACAACCTCCATAGGTCAATTGTTCCACTGTGATATCGGGTCTTACTATTGGGAAGATTTTTCCAGAAAGGCAGGCAAGAGAATGATGGGAACCCACACGTTCTAGCCAGGTAGTCCTCAAGTTATCACCATAATGGAATCTGCCCATTAAGGTTGTAATGGTTGTTAAATAGGTCAGTCACACGATCGACCTGGTATTAGGTTGTTGTTGTTTTCAGCAGTCATTAAGCAAATACCATGACTCTTAAGCAAATTCATTGTTCGCTACGACATGTTTTGCTGAAAACCAGAAGGAAGTGCCTGTTTTTGGCAAAACCTTCATAAAATGCAGTCACATGGCCACAGGATGCTGCAAACAGCCAACATTGTGGCCATGTTGCTGAATGCCGAAATGACAGTCATCAACTTTGGATTGGAGTCATTTGTCCCCTTTTTATCGCTAAGCAACAGGCTGTAAGTTGAGGCCTAGCTGTGGATGCATGGAAGTGTACTCAAACGCATATACTATACACAAACAGTGAACTCATAGGTTTCTAGTGCCTTTGGGAAGCCAAACAGAAGCTTGTGTAGAGACTTGAGGACCTCTTAATTTTTGCAGAACATACAATATTTTAAAGGAGGGAAAGTTTATAATGGGAGGAAGGATATTCAAAAGGCAGCCCACAAGCTCTGGGCCTCTGAGGGCCTCTCAAATGTTGAACAAAGGAGGACATTTTCATAGCAAAATGAGCTATGACTGGCTGTGGAACTCTGGGAGTTGAAGTCCATCCATCTTAATATTGTCAAGTTTGTTTCTGAGGGAGATGTTTCTACAAAATGTTCCATCCAAAAAAATGGCCTGTGTTCCCCCCCCAATTTATTTCTAGTATGTGTGATAGAAAATAAATTGCTTCCCAAAAACCTTTCCAAGGAGAAGACAATGCAAATGAAATAGAAGTTGTTCTCAACTTATGACCACAATTGACCCCAAAATTTCTGTTGCTAAGCGAGACATTTCTTAAGTGAATGTTGCCTCATTTTATAGCCTTTCTTGCCATAGTTTTTCAGTGAATCATTGCAGTTGTTAAGTTAATGACATGATTGTTAAGTGAATCTGGCTTCCCCATTGACTTTGCTTATATCAGAAGACCACAAGAAATGAGCACAAGATCTGGGACACTGCAACTGTCATAAATATGAGTCAGTTGCCAAGCATCTGAATTTTGATCACGTGACCATGGGGATGCAGTAACTGTCAAAAATGTGAAAACTATTGTAACTTACTTTTTTTAGTGCCGTTGTAACTTTGAATGGTCACCAAATGAACTGTTATAAGTTGAGGACTACCTGTAAAACCCTATAAAGGGCAAGATTTCCCTCTCACTTTGGTTATGAAAAGGCCAAAAGGTGCATCTAAGCACCCCATCTTTCAGTGTGGAAATCCTTCTGGCGAGTTCTTACATTCCAAGCTTATAAAACCAATCCGTGCTGTTGACCTATAAAGATGGAGGGTCAAACTGTTTTCTTCATCAGTAAGAAAGAACTTTAAATTGAGCTTTGACATCCCAAAGTAACACAAAGTAATCTTGTTACACATTTCTTTTTTAAGTGAAGACAGAACTGCAAAATGTAATTGTATGTAATTCTTACATTTTAATTCACTGTTGTTTCAAACACTTAAGAATCCACTGATTTATATTCACTAACAAACTAGGGCACATTCTTTAGGAAACATAACAATAATTATTACAACTTTTCATTTCAGGGAAGGTTCTTGTGAATGTCATCTTCTATTCATTATTAACTTTTTGTTTAATCAGTGTGCAATCAAGAAGATCCTGCCATCCAAGGAAAATCCTCTTCTTTCTCTTCTGTTAGTAATGTGTGTGTGTGTGTGTGTGTGTGTGTGTGTGTGTGTGTGGTTTCTTGCACTGGACAATGGAATAAACCTATGGATTTCTTCCATGTTTCCTTGTGCTCAACAATTCCTCTTGGAGAATCAGATGGATTTACAAATATATTTAAGGCACTTCTGTTTCAATGCTAGAAAAAAAAGGAAGGGTCAATTCAATGTAGAGAAAGAAATTCATATTTAGACAGAAGGGAATATTGGTTGCTAGGGTTGAACCAGGTTTCTTGGTGCTGACTGAGCTTGGTTGTTTTCTTGTAGATGTTTCATTACCCAGCTAGGTAACATCATCAGTGTT